TTTTTTTTTTTAAGACAGGGTTTCACCATGTTGGTCAGGCTGGTCTTGAACTCCTGACCTCAGGTGATCCACCACCTCGGCCTCCCAATGTGCTAGGATTACAGGCATGAGCCACTGTGCCTGGCGTCTTTTTTTTTTTTTCAGTGCAGAGTCTTACTTTGTAACCCAGGCTGGAGCACAGTGTTCATGTTCTCGACTCACTGCAGCCTCCTCCTCTCCGGTTTACCTGACCCTCCCATCTCAGCTTCCTGAGTAGCTGGGACCACAGGCATGTGCCACCATGCCACGGCTAATTTTTGTATTTTTTGTAGAGATAGGGTCTCACCATGTTGCCCAGGGTGCTCTTGAAATCCCGGGCTCAAGTGCTCTGCCTGCCACGGCCTCTCAAAAGTGCTGGGATTACAGGCATGAGCCAACACACCCAGCCACAATCTTGATTATGTTTACTGTTTTCCAAATCTTGATATGGGTTCAATGATTTCACCCACATTTTTCTTCTTTTTCTTATGTTTCAGCTATTCTAGTTTCTCTCCCTTTCCAGATAAGTTTTAGAATAATCTAATGAAATGGCAACTTTCTAGGAAATATGCTCTCCCAATATTGACATTAGTTTTAAAGAAAATCCAAACAGAACAATATCCGTTGAAGAAATTGACATGTTCTGTGAAGTGGGCAGATTACTTGATCCCAGGAGTTCCAGACCAGCCTGAGCAAAATGGCAAAACTCCATCAACAGAAAAAACTTTTAAAAAATTAGCTGGCACGTGTCTGAGGGCCCAGCTACTTGGGAAGCTGAACTGGAAGCTTTGCTTCGGCCTAGGAGGTGGAGGTTACACTGAGGCAAGATTGTGCCACTGTGCTCCAGCATGGGTAATGCAGTGAGACCCTGTTTCAAAAAAATAAAAATAATAGGCCAGGGGCAATGGCTTATGCCTGTAATCCCAGCACTTGGGGAGGCCGAGGCAGGTGGAACACAGGGTCAAGAGATCGAAACCATCCTGGCCAACATGTGAAACCCCGTCTCTATTAAATAATACAAAAATTAGCTGGGTGTGGTGGCACAGGCCTGTAGTCCTAGCTACTTGGGAGGCTGAGGCAGGAGAATGGCTTGAACCATGGAGGCGGAGGTTGCAGTGAGCCAAGATTGACCCCACTGCACTCCAGCCTGTCAACAGAGAGACTCCATCTCAAAAAAATAAAAAATTAAAATTAAAATTAAAAAATTGCTGTAATGAATAGTACATAAAATGCTAGAGTCTGAATATTTAGGAGAATCTTATGTAAAATATTATCAGTTTGTAATTTTTTTTGAGATAGAATCTACAACAATTTGTAATTGTTAATTTAAAATAACATGTGATGAACATATATAATTTATGCCCTGACTGGAGGTAAGATTTAATATTAGGAAATGCACTACCACAGTTCATACCAGCTGTAGGATTAAAGAGAAAAATCACCCAGGCCTGGTGGCTCACGCCTGTAATCCCAGCACTTTGGGAGGCTGAGGCGGGTGGAACATGAGGTCAGGCATCCGAGACCAGCCTGGCCAATATAGTGAAACCCCATCTCTACTAAAAATACAAAAAATTAGCTGGGCGTGGTGGCGGGCGCCTGCAGTCCCAGCTACTGAGGAGGCTGAGGCAGGAGAATTGCTTGAACTCAGGAGGTGGAGGTTGCAGTGAGCCAAGATTGTGCCACTGTACTCTAGCCCGGGCGACAGTGTGAGACTCCATCTCA